TAGAATGATCATCTCAACTGATGCAGAGAGAGTGTTGACAAAATCCAACACTATTTCATGATGTAAACACTCAACAAATGAATGTACACTCAACAGAAGGGAATGTCCCCAACATGATAAAGGGCATATGTAAAAAACCCACAGCTAAGTCATACTCAGTGGTGAGAAACTGAAAGTGTTTTCTTTAAGATCAGGAGTAAGATAAGGATGTCTGCTTTCACTGCTTCTAGTCAGAATAGTATTGGAAGCTCTGGTCAATTAGACAAGACAAAGAAATAAAAGTCACTCAAATTGGAAAAAAAGAGGTAAAATTATCTCCATTTGTAGATGACACAACCTAATTGTAGAAAACTCTTAAGAATTCACAATAAATTGTTAGAGCTAATAAATAACTTCAGCAAAGTTGCAGAATATAAATCAACACACAAAATCAGTTTGATTTCTATATACTTGCAATGAACATTTTGAAAAGGAGAAAATTTTAAATTCCATGACAGTAGCTTTGAAAATAATAAAATAGTTAGGAATAAGTTTAATCAAGGAGGCAAAAGATTTGTACACTTAAAATTACAACATTGCTGAAAGATGTAAAAAGAAGGCCTAAATAAATGGAAAGACATCCCATGTTCATGGATCAGTAGACCTGCTATCTTTGAGATGACACTATGACTCAAGGCAATCTACAGAGTCAATGCAATCCCTATCAAAATACCAATGGCATTTTTACAGAAATAGAAAACTCATTCTAGGGGGGAGATGCCAAGATGGCAGAGTAGAGAGACTCACAGCTCACCCTCTCCCACAAATACACCAAGAATTACATCTACAAACCCATCAAATCACACACAACACCCACTGAACTTGCAGAGTGTCTCTTGTTTTGAAATACAGGAGGATTCTCACAAAATGCATTTACACTGTACAGCACAGGGAACTATACTCAGTATCTTGTAGTAACTTATGATGAAAAGGAATATGAAAAAGAATATATATATGTTCAGGTATGACTGAAGCATTGTGCTGTACACCAGAAATTGACACAATACTGTAAACTGACCATACTTCAATAATATATACACATACAAAAAATTAAAAAAAGAAAACTCATTCTAAAACTCTAAAACTCAAGGGACCCTGACTAGCCACAATGATCTTGAAATGAGAAAAATTAAGTTGGAGGATTCACATTTCCTGATTTCAAAACCTACTACAAAGCCACAGTGATTAAAACAGGGTGGTACTAGCATAAGACCAATAGAATAAAATAGAGACCCTAGAAATAAACCCTCACATAAATGGTCAATTGATGTTCGACAAAGATGCCAAGACAGTCAATGGGGGGGGGTGGGAAGACAGTTTTTTCAACAAACAGTGTCAGGAAACTGGATACTCACATGGAAAATAATGAAGTTGGATTCTTATGTAACACCACAAGGAAAAATTAACTCAAACTGGATCAAAGACCTAAACATAAGACCTAAAACCATAAGACTCTCAGAAGAAAACAGGGGGAAAGATTTATGACTTTGGACGTGGAAATTGTTTCTCGTATATGACACCAAAAGCACAGGCAACAAAAGATAAAACAGATAAGTGGGACCATCTCAAAATTTTAAAGTTTTGTGTACCAAAGGATACTCTCAAGGGAGCGAAAAGGCAGCCCACAGAATGGGAGAAAATATTTGCAAACCATATAGCTGATAAGGGATTAATATCTAGAGATATATAAAGAACTACAATTCAAAAACAACAACAAACTGATTTTAAAATGGGTGGCAGGGTGGGGGAAAGGTATAGCTCAAGTGGCATAGCACATGCTTAGCAGGCACGAGGTCCTGGGTTCACTCCCCAGTACGTCCATCCCCAGTACTTCCATTAAAAAAATAATAAACCTAATTACCTGCCCCTCCCCACCAAAACCAAACTAAACAAACAAAATGAGCCAAGGGTTTTGGGTAGACATTTCTTCAAAGAAGATCCACAGTGGAAGAAATTTGGTAGGTCCTCAGAAAGCAAAACATAAAATTTGTATGTGATCTAGCAATTACACGTCTAGGTATGTACCCAAAAGAATCAAAATCAGGGGGTCCAACAGATACTAGTATACCAACGTTCACAGCAGCATTATTCGCAATAGCCAAAAGGTAGAAACAACCCAATGTCCAGCAACAGATAAATGGATAAACAAAACATGGTGCACCCACACAATGATTTAGCCACTAGAAAGGAAGGAAGTTCTTGATACACACTACCACACAGATGAACCTTGGAAACACTCCGTTAAGTGAAATGAGCCAACACAAAAGGAGACACAGTGTCTGATGTCACTTACAGAAAGCACCTAGAATTCTCAGTGACAGAAAATAGATGAGTGGTTACCAAGAGCTGCTGGGGGAGGAGACCAGGGAGTTACTGCTTAATGGTTACAGACTTTCCACTTGGAGTGATGACAAGG